TATAGTCATTTGTTCTTGGTGACTTGAATCGGGAGTACAATCAAGTATGATTGAGTAGTACTTTGCTTCCTTTATCTTCTTGATAAGTTCTTTTTTAATTTCTTCAGCTAGCAAAGATATTAGTTCGTTTTGGATTAGGTGGCCAAGATAATGCACATGAAGCCCTTCATTTGTGATCCGTCGCACATGCTCTTTGATAACCGGGTCAAACTCTTCCAACATTTCAATGACACCCAAAAAATTTCCATTACCTGTTAAATAAAATTAACAAATAAGAAGTGGAATCAGTCATCATAATTAACAAAAAAAAAAAAAAAATTGGTGGAACTGGAACAAAAAATACAATTTATAGTTACCTTTTTTATACAACTTTTCATTGGATCCACGGAATGCTAAATTATGTTTAGCAAGAAACTTCACTACTGCAATAATTCTTAAAAGCGCTTGTTTCCAGTAATCTCTTTCTTTCTTGAATTGCTCATGTTGAACTTTATCAATTATTTCGTTCAAGTTCAATCTTTTACGCATGTCAAACCACTTATTCCTATTTGTAAGATGATCCAATGAAATTTCGTGTTCTTTAACCCTAGTGGTAACATGGTGCCAATCTGCATAACCTTCACCATCCAGTTTACCTTTTGAAATCCCTTTTCTAAACACTTTACAACAGAAACAAAATACCCTGTCTAGCTCTTTCGAATATACTAGCCATTCTCTATCACGCTTCTCCAAATTTGATAAAGTTCTTGTATACAAAGCTGCAAAAAATCGTCTACCAAATTTATCGTAGGGACCATACATAATACTATAATCTCTTTTAGGACCTTTCTCAACCAAAATTTTAATCTCATCCAAATTAAGTTTTTCCCACCTTCTTGGATCATATATATCAACAAGGTCTTTAATAGGCTCATGCTCTTCTGTCTCTTCTACTTCTACATGCTCTTCAACTTGCTCTTCAACATGTTGTCGGTGGATAAACTTATCTAAAACACCGATATCAACCTTTCTCTTTTCTTCATCTAGTTTTCTCTTTTTACGTTTTTGATAATCGGCTGGTTCTTTAGACTTCATTGATACAAGTTCATAAATTTCAACTTTCAACATTCAAGCAATTACAATAAACATAATTTGATAAACAATTTTACAATAAACATAAACTCATAATTTAAACTACTAAACTGGTTTCTATGAATCTTAGAATCTAATTCATTCATTCACTATTCTATTGACTATTAAACTGATTTCTATAGTAGATAAACTGATAATCAAATATTAAATTCATTCAATAATATTAAATTCATTCAATGATTCAATATTCTATTAAAATCATAATCTATGAAAGTATGAATCATTCAAGTATGCGATTGACAACTATAAACTTGATAATCTTCAATTCTCATAAATCTTACCTGACTGGTTGATTAGCACTAGATAAAATCAGATAATTGACCCTTGATAATCCTCAATTTCTCATAAAAGATTGTCTACCCTTGCTGAATGAGTGAATGACGCTGAGCCGCTAAGTTGCTATCTTTGCCAATTGCTTTTTTTTTTTGCCGATTGCTTTTTTTTAACGAACGAATAATGCAGTGCTGCAAATTGTCGATTGCCTTTTTTCTTTGCCGATTGATCATGAAGGGCTGCAAATTGCGGCTTTAGTGACTTCTCCCTGCCTTGTTTAATGTATTAATTTAGATTAATGGGCCCATTGCTTATACAACCCAAATATATATATATCTATATATATATATATATATATATATATATATATATATATATATATATATATATATATATATATATATATATATATATGGAAGAGTTATATGGAAAATGAATGATTAAGGCAACACATATTTGAACCAATGAAAACATGACAACACATCACTTCCACAATACATTACTTGTGAAGAAAGAAATGGACACGTGTCATTTGATTATTGGTTCTGGTAGATGTTGTCCTAGTTATTTGTTTTCCATAGAACTCATTCCTCTATATATATATATATATATATATATATATATATATATATATATATATATATATATATATATATATATATATATATATATATATATATATATATATATATATATAGTTTGAAATGGGGTTAAAAATACTTCTACATAAAAAATACATTTTTAAAATCGATACTCTAAGCCAATAACCATTTAGTGAGTCCTTGTTTGGTAAGCAAGTCCTTATTACTTACAAACTCACATCATACACCTTTAAATGCTGATCTTTGAAAAACTAATAAAAAGAAAAATGAATTAAATGTATGTTACATTGTTGTTTTTAACATGAGTATATCAATATAGTTTTTGTGTTAACATTATTATATAAAAAAATATCGTTTTTTTTATTAGAAAAGTCGATATCTTGTGATTATTAATAATTAGTAAATGGCTTTATTTTTTAAACAAAAAATGAATAAAATAAAATAAAATAAAATAAATGTCTCCGTATTTTGGATTTTAGGAAGTAAATAAGTCACCAACCGGTAAAACAAAATAATGTGATTTTTAAAATAATATGATCAAAATTTAAGATGTTTATTTTTTTTAAATCGTCGTTTTAAAAAAGTTATTTTAATCATATTTTACTGTGTTACTATAATTTTACTATATTTTTCTTAGTGTAACCAAATGCATTATGTTACTATCCTTTTACTACATTCTATCCGGTTACATATGATATTTTCAAATTGTAATCCTATGATATTATTTATTACTATAATAAATGAAAATGTTTTTAACACTTGTTATTTCTTTAAAAAAAAATTCATACGTCATTATGTAAGAATTTTAAATTATTTAAATTCAACATATTTCATTTTTTGTTAATATAAAATTAATCAATTCTACTAATTAATATCTTTATTATTATCAAGGTTCTAAAAAGTTCGTCATGACGCGACATAGCTCCAAGGTTTGTACATACCGTCAAGTTTTACCAAAATTTCACCTTCACTACTACAAAAGACCCTTTTACGACGCACAATCCATGTCGTAAAACGCTCAGACGACACGCAAATACGCGTCAACGAAGGTCCTATCATAACGAAAGACGACACGAATTTGCGCGTCGTTTATTTACGACACACATTTTTGACTCGCATTTACGATGCTCCTTTATGACATGCAATGCATATCAAGGAAGCCTCTGTCATAAAGAAAGACGACACATATGTGCGTTTCGTAACCTTACGACGCACCTTTATGACACACAATGCATATCAAGGAAGCCAATGTCATAAACAAAGACGACACGCCCTTGTGTGTCGTAACCTTACGATGTGCAATGTGTATCGTTAAATCCACAATCATAAATGAAGATGACACACATTTGCATGTCATAAACTTCAGCTGTGAGTGACGATACACATTTCCGACATGTGTTTACGATACGCATTTACAATGTGAATACATATAATAAAAAAACAAATATATACTAAAACATTCAATTTCATCTAATTGCGAAATAAGTTACCTAACATTACATGTCAGTTTACCTAACATTAAATGTCAAACAACACTACATGTCAAATGAGGATGCTAAGTAACATTTCACAAAGTTAACAAAAAACATGTACACCACATGTCAAAAGACCATTTCAATGTTAACAAAAATATTGTTTTGCAGATACAAAATATCACCGGTAAACGAAGCCTGTAACAAACTCCGACCATTCTTCAAGTATTTCATTGATATCATCATCAATGTACTCAACTTTGTCACCCCCGACCTGGAAAAAAATTTGCATATTGTTTCTATTATAAAAAAATTGCATATTAATATATTCTTTAACAGTGAGTTGCTATATTTAACAAATAAACATAAAATGTAAATTCTTCTTACTTAATACAACATTGTACTTTCAAATAAATGAAAGCACATTGTTATTTTTGCATGTAACCTAATATTTCAATTATAATGTGAGATTAGGATGCCATAAAAGGATCTTTTTTCAGTTCCTTTCCTATTAAATTATTATATTAGTGAAAGTAGAATCTTATATCCTTGCATTGTCTTTGACCAACACTTCAATTCCTTCCTCAACTATCTCCTGCATGAACCTTAACATGTAGTACCCACATTCAGTAGATCTGAGACGAACTGGACACTACATAATTACATATAAATGATCATTGCAGTTGGTCCAAAAAATAAAGTTAAAGCTGCAATTTCAATAAGGAATTAAGTGTTGACCATAACATTGACTCAGTTTAGCTTAACCCTATTGTTGGATCCATTTTGTGTAGCATACACAACCATTGACCTATAAAAAAAACATTAACACATAGGTATTTATTGTATTCACATCAAATGTTTTGATAATTTATATTACTTACAAATCAATAACTCACTTCAATTGCATATTGAAATTTCCAAAACTCAAGGAATCAAGATACTAGCAAGTATCCGATTTCATGTCTAGTACACCTAACACCCAATGTCTTCTACAAAAACCACAAACGAAATTAAGTCAAATAACATAATTGTAGTCATTTTCAAAATAAAATGGTAAAATCAAACCTAAGATTATACACAACAGGATAACATAATTACAGTTGGGTTTACAAAGCAAATTCCATGATCTCCTTTGGCAGGCCATACTTGATTTTGTTAAACAACACCATATTATCATACAAACACTAAATTAATTAAACAAATTTTGGACCCAGAACAATTATTTAAATTAAATTTCTTGCACTTACATCACATAAGACACAATGATAGCACCAGTCAGCTCACCCATTGTAAGAACTGCTTCAAAATCATCCCAATTTAAGTACGTGTAACTATCGTACCCAAAAAGATCGTTCTCACTCTGCACTTTTATAGAATCAACCTTTGTAACTCGTCCACCAGCCATCATTGCAATCATTTTCAAAATACTACTCTTATCAATTCTAATCCTTTTCTTCATCTGTGCTCTAATCTACCTTCTTTGCATGGTCAAATTCCCTTCTTCCTTTTTTTTACTCTTATTTCATGTTCCATTCCCTTCTTCCTTATCAACCATGTTTCCTGTCCCATTTTCTTTCTTACTACTTTCTATTTCTTCTTTTAAAGGTGTTGCATCTTTTTTCACTGGTGTTCCATGTTTTTTCATAGGTTTCCCCACCACTTTTCCCTACAAAGATTATAAAGAAAACATAATGAAATAGGAAGCATGAAACATAAGCATGTTTGTTGCATATGGTGTGAAGTGAAATAGAAAATAAGAGCATGTCTGGTGAATCATTTTAGAAGCTGAAAACGAACACTCAAATATAAGAAAAATTGAGAAAACCAAGGGTATTTTCGGTATATAATTTCAGTTGACTATGTTGAGAGTGCAAATAACATTAATTATGTGTAAACTTTGTATATTTTAAAGGTGGATATGTATTAGATGATGATGATATAAAAGGTAAGGTAACTAAACAAGTTTCGTCTTCTATTAATACTTAAAATAACCGTATGAAAATTATATGGGTTCCACACACAAAATGAAGCCATATTATCATTCAAGTTTAAATTTAATACCCAAAACATGTTGACTTAGGATGATAACTCAGGATTAACAGAACAGATGCAGATCAATAGAACATAAACATAGGCTAAAACATGAAACATGAAACAAGAAACAAGAAACAAAGTTTTTTCACAGGTTTGTTGCATGTTGTGTGAAATGAAACAAGAAACAGGTCTGGTGGATCATTTACTAAAGCTGAAATAAGAATGGAATCCGAAATGGAATCCGAAACAGGATTCAGTTGTTTGACTATGATAAACACCTTTAACAAATATCAATCAAGTTGAACTTTAATTAAATGGTCAAGGTGTATTACCAGGTCAGGGTATCGAATAACTAAGTGTCTTGGCTGACTTAGTATGTGTCCAAATGCATATTTGACCTTCATAATGAACTCCACTTCGAGTGGAATGGGTAGTAAAGCTTGTTTCCATCATAACTTGAATGTTTTCATCTATTACATAAACGTTAAAAATAATTAAGATCCAATTCTCTAAAAAAATGAAAATATATAAATAGTAATAATGCAAATATTTTTCATAATACCCGAGGCACTATACTTGATTATGGTTCCTTTAGTGACTATATTTGCGGCAAAGTAAACCGTAAGAAGACATGAATTATCCTACCAAAATATAGTATGTCAGTTTGTAGAAAAAGAAAATACTTTAAAAATATTTTTCATAAGTGGACTTACAAGTGATTCTTCCAGTGGTTCTTTTTCAACATCTTCAATGACACCCCTTAACTGGCATCTTGCAGCTTCAAAAACATTAAATACACCTCTTTTTAGTTTCTCCAAGTCATCTTCAAGTTTGTTGATTCGTTTAGCCACCCTCTCATTCTCAATCTCCATGTAATGATTAATATTCTTGGGTAAATAAAAGTATTGTTGTGGCGTTAAAATTTTACCCATCCCTTATACACTCCCACGTTGTTCCTCAGTGCCCAAGACCTCTGTAAGCACATCATGTGTTCCACATGTAAGCTGTCCAAAACTTTCCGAATTCTGCAACTCATCCTTTAAAAAAATGGATCAAATGTTAAAAAAAAAATGGGACAGATTGTGTGTGAATCTGTGGACAGATTCATGTTATTTGACATCCAATGAAACTTACAATTCTATCAACAATGATCTTGACATTTGATTCATATCCTCCTGTCTTCAATTCTCTTGCTTTTTTCCACAACATTGTCCTATCAATCTCCTCTTCCGTCTTGCCGGTTTCTTGCATCTAAATTATCAAGAATAACAAAGTCAACTAACACAAATATATACAAGTCAAATAATCAATACTTAGTGGGATTCATACAATGTCATTAATGAGTCCGACATATCCTTTTTTGCTCAAATGATGAATGTATTTATGATGTGCACAAACATTTTTAGCTTTCATACTTTTTTCCTGCATTAGAAACATTAAAATTGTAACTCTTTAGATCTTCTATCAATGGTGCCAAGTAGACATCAATATTGTGACCAGGTTGGTTTGGCCCTGATATCAACAGATTCAACATCATGAATTTTCTTGACATACACAAATAAGGGGTAGATTATATGTTATTAGGATAACCATTCAGCAACTATGCTTGGAACTTCATTACTTATGAGGATTGATAACATTAGAAGACAAGGCTAATCTAAGATTTCGTTTTTCTTGTCCGAATTCTTTCCATGTGTTATCAACAAGCTTCCAAGAAGGGGTATCGTGAGGATGAGTAAGCTTCCCATTATTGACCCGACCTTGTGCATGCCAAGTTAAATCATGTGCAAGTTGCGGTATTGAAAACATTCTTCTAAATCTAGGGATGATAGGAAAATACCATAAAACTTTTCAAGGTACATTTTTGATATCTTTCTTCCAATGAGATGTGCCACAAGTTGGATATTGAGTAGCATCCTTATGTTTTTTCCAGAATAGAACACAATCATTTTCACATGCATGAATCCCTCATATTGTATACCTACACCGTTTAGCAACTTCTTGGATTTATATATCGAGCTAGGGATGGTATTCTTTGATGGTAATATATCTTTTAGGACACACAACGAAGCATCAAAACTAGCATCAGACCATCCAAACTGACCCTTCAAATGTTGGAATTTCAATAATGCACTAAGTGTATTATACTTTGACCCTACACAAAGTGGCTTATCACATTATTCAAGAAGTGATTTCAATGAATCAGGTTCTTTGTCTACATATTTGAAGGCATCATGTAGCATATCCTTTGTATAAATGGCATCGGGATGAATGGAATTGTTAGGGCATCTAGAATTAATCTTGGGTTGTTTTTCTCCATGGAAAGACCAAATCTTATAATTTTCGTCGAAGTCGTGGGCAAACAAATGATAACAGACATTGTCAATTGAGTGGTGACAAAAGTTGATACTATTTACACAAGGGCATGAAATAACATCTAACTTTAGATTATTACTTTGTGTAAACTCAAGAAAATCGTTCACACCTTCATCATATTGTAACAACCGAAAAATCCAGCCAATTTATTATTTTTTTTTTAAAAAAAAACAATCCACTTAATAACACTGTTACAAAAGGTTTTCAATACATTATTCATCAGAGTATTCCCAGGTTCATTTTATAAACATAAACGCGATGAACGGTACGATCACGCCTTTGCCTTGCCACTGCTCCCTGAAGAACCTAAAGAACATTAAACCACAACTGTAAGCCCGAAAGCTTAGTGAGATACCCCCAAAATACCAACCTCATATACCATACACATATCGCACTATCTCATAACGAATCACAGAACAGTCATGCATAACGGGTCTACTGTGGGACTGGCCCGCCATGACGGGCCTTTAGTCCACCTGGTCCACCCTCCGAGTCCAATCAAGTTCCTCGAGTCTACAGTGTGGTTGGTCCACCCGCACTGGCCTTCAACTCACCTGGTCCACTCTCTGAGTCTACAGTATGACTGGTCTGCCCGCATCAGGCCTTCAGTCGGCCTGGTCCACTCTCCGAGCCTCGGCATCTCTGGTCCGCCCGCGTGGGGCCTGCAGCATATCTGGACCACTCACTGGGCCTTCGGAACAACCGGTCTGCCCTGAGTATCTTGGCCTACAGCACAAAGCAGGACCGCCTCAACCCATCTCCAGTCCAAACAACCATGTACACATAAACATATAATCATATAACAGTTCACGTTCAAACAAGCCGATCTAGCAGATCACATAGCATAACATACTCTAAGCAGGATACCGACCTAACAGGTCATTAGCATAGCATCTCCCTATCTCTCAGGATACCGATCTCAATCAGGTCTCTAACATATACCGTCCTATCTCTCAGGATGCAAGCATATCACAACAACAAAATACAACAACTACCCGGATCTCAATCCGATAAGGGCCGGCCTTGGTGCCTTAGACCCTGTTGATATAGTGAGGATAACTCACCTCGAAACTGCCGGCTGAAAGGATAAGGTCCCGCTGCTCCAACTCTGACACGAACTCCTCCACTGAACACCAAAACATTCAATTCAATAAATACAACTGGTCAACCTTGGACAAAGTCAAAGTCAACCCCCGACTGACCCTACTCGCCGAGTCAACCCGATGACTCGCCGAGTCCCTATGCTCAGAACTTCCCTCAATCAGCGACCAACTCGCCGAGTCACCCCAAGACTCGCCGAGTCCAACAACTCTGAGTCCACTCGCACCCAACTCACCGAGTCATTCCTTGACTCACTGATTCTCGACTCAACCAGAAAATATTAGGACTCTTCGACAAGACTCGCCGAGTCCAAGAACAGACTCGCCAAGTCTGAGGCTATCTTCAACCTACTCGCCGAGTTGTTCTTCCAACTCGCCGAGTTCCAGGCCATCTTCAAGCAACTCGTCGAGTCTACCCATGTGACTCGCCGAGTATCACCGGTCTGAATCAATTCAGAAGCACTCCAGGCCATGCAATTGATCCAAAACATAGATCCAACCTCCTACAATCCATCCATCACATAAAGTGGCAAACTTTACGTGAATCCAAAGAGATCTAGGCCTTATTCACCTTAGAACTAAGGTTTGGGACATGATAGCTCCATTAACAACACAAGAACAGGGGCTTTAATGCTCTTAAGATCTTCTCCACTCCAGATCTGAGGTAGTAACCTTAGATCTATCCTTCAAACTCAAGATGTCACACAACCAAGCTTCCCACACAACCCCAAAATGAGAATCTAAGAGAACACAGCCCAAGAATGAAATATTACCTCCAAAGAATGCCCTAACAGTAATGAAACTCGAATCCAAGCAAACCCCTTTGATCCAAGCCTCTTCTCCTTCAAGATTTCTTCAACAAACACCTCTCCAAGCTCCAATTTGCTCAACAATGGGTTTCCTCCATGAAATTAGGGTTTCTAGGACTCAAGGGGGATCAAGGAGGCTGTGGAGGAAACATAATGATCTTTATATAGGGCTCATTCCCCGAATTTAGGGTTTTCTTCACCGAGCACCTACTCGCCGAGTCCATCTTTGGACTCGCCGAGTAAGTAGCTTGACACACGACCAAAGTCGCGACTCTACTCGCCGAGTCCATCCATGGACTCGCCGAGTCGCCCTTCAAGATTTACACTTTTAGCCCCTTCAACTCTACTCTTGCTATTATGGGATGTTACACATATGTATTTGATAATCTACTAGAGGAAATCCATGACTTGTACATTAAACATTTGTTTCCAACCAACATAATTATTTACCATTTAAAGCAATAATGATTACATATGTATAGGGACAAAATTTATGCAAAAACAAAATTGTACATGAGCCAAAACTGTACAGGGACAAGAAACCATATAGGGACCAAAACTGATGTAGGGACCAAAACTGATTCGGGGATAAAAACTGTGATGAAACAAAATTGTACAGGGAGAAAAAAACAGAGGGATCAAAACTGATGCATGGACCAAAACTGTATAGAGGCCAAAATATGCAAACAGATTGAGTGAGTAGGTATGTGGCATTATGGTCATTCTGGTATTGATACTTGTGCTCTTGCATTAATTAATATATGTGATGTAGGGGCCAAAATATGCAAACAAAACTGATACAGGGGCCAAAACTTGGTATTTATTCTTTATAATTTATATATGTGATGTAGGTTTTACCTGAGACAGCTAAAGATTAACAAACTTAGCAATCTACATACACTTCGTGTAGACGATAACAAATATTCCAAATTTACCCCTCATGAATCCGCTACTACTTCCTCCGGTAATCTTTTGGCTTCTAAGAAACAAGATCTTCAAAACAAGGTCACGAGATTGTTTTCTTACTTAGACGAGGTAACTCTTCTAATCTTTCAAGAATAACCTTTTTATGGTTTTACCCTTGAAATATTTTAAGAGGGTTGCTACAAAATGGTTTCTTTTCTTCACTTTTTCTTCCATACTTTCTTATATATTTAGGGTTGAGATCCAGTGATAACCCTTTGTTTTCTATTCTAATCTAAATATATTTATTAAATCTATCAGGGAACAACCATCAGAGACAAAATGCAAGAACAGGTAAAGACAAATGGAAACAGGAAGGGACTCATGTAACGCCCGAGTTTCAAGACTAAGCATTTTTGTCAATGTAATAGTCTAGGTCAACTATTGTAACTCTTTTTGAAGTAATAAATCTGAAATATTTGAGTATTATGTGAATTATGTGTGTTTATTATTTAATTATAAATGTATAATTAATAAAGAATAAAAATGAGCATCAAAATTAAAGTGTGAGATAATCCCAATATCTCTACATAAAGTTGTAGAATATGTCTCAAGGTTTCTGTACATATAAAGAATGCCGAAATCCGAGCTATAACGAAGAAGTTATGACCCCCCGAAGTTTTACGGCAAAACCGGCACGGCACCGGAAGACGTAAATAGTGAATTTATGATAGAAGACTATTTAGCCTTAGCAATCTAAACAAAAGTCATATAATATGTTAAACTAAGAACATCAATAAAAAGAACGCCCAAATTTGACTTCGTATGAAGAAGTTATGATTTTTCGAAGTTTCGGACTTTCAATGTACAACCCGAAATTCGAATATTAGATCGAGTGATTTTAGCCGACACGACCTAAATGAGAATCTAAGATCTCGTTAAGAGTAGCATAACGAGAAAAAGATGGGCGAAAACGGATGTCGGATGAAGAAGTTATGAGGATTTAACAGACCAATCTTATCCCGACCTGTTGATAATAGAAAATTTAAAATCGAGCCAAAATTAGCTGACGAAGTCTAAACGAAAGTTGTAGAGTACGTTCCCACCTTCGCGTGGATATAGAGAACGTCAAAAACGGAGCTCGTATGCGAAAGTTACGAATTTTTGAAGTTAGGACTCGAAAATACGAAACCTGTTGCGAAGTTGATGACGTGGCACAATCCCAGCCGTCGCTTGCGGCCGACGGTCTCGCTTCGGATGAGTGACACGCCCCCTTCGTATTACGCCCCGTGTACGAGGTCCGGTACGCCCCGCGTACCTTCGCTTCTCATCCGACCAGTGTGCGAAACAGCTGGCTGCGAGTTGGCATCCATATCCGAGACTACGCCCAACGTAGCCTCGGTACGCCCCGCGTAAATGCGAGCTTCGGCTCCTATAAATACCATGCGAATTCTTCCGGATTTTTCACACCTTTCCACCTTCTATCTCTCACTACTTTCTCTCTCTAGGGTTTTGAAACCTCCCTAAAGTCTAGGTGAACCCCTAGCACCCTAAGTAAGCCCCGAGGCTCCCGGAGTCCCTAGAAAAAGGAGTTTTTCGGTTTCGAAACGCTGCTCCAATT